TTTGTTAAAGAGACTGTCTTTTTTCCATTGGATGTTCTTTCCTGCTTTGTCAAAGATGAGTTGGCCATACGTTTGTGGGTCTAGTTCTGGGGTTTCTATTCTATTCCATTGGTCTATGTGTCTGTTTTTGTGCCATAGAAAGTCCATCTTGAATCACAGCAACTGAGTGTTATGGCCCCTCAATTAATTCCCAGACTTGAGCCAATTTAAAGAGCCAGAACCCCTTGAATAAAGGAGAAGCTGGGTCCCCTTGAGGAAGGACCCAGTATGCTGCCAAAAATTTATACAATGAACCTTTCTCCCACCCTTCCCCAGAGGGACCTGTGGCCTTTTACCAGGATGACTGTGCACTGGGGAAAAGGAAATAGTCAGCTCTTTGGGGCATTACTAGACATGGTCTCTAAACTGAGGACCCAATGTCACAGTGGCCCACCACCAATCAGAGGAGGGGCTTATGGAGCTCAGGTGGTCAATGGAGTTCAGCACAGGTTCATCTCACAGTGAGCCTGGCTGGGGGGGGGGGGTGTCCCTGAACCAATCCTGTTGTTTATTTCCCATGTCTGGCATAATTAAACTAGTCATACTCAACAGCTGGCAGAATCCCCACATTGGTTCCCTGCCCTGTGGAGTGAGGGCTGCTACAGTGGGGAAGGCCAAGTGGAAGGCACTAGAACTGCCTCTACTTAGGAAAACAGTAAACCAAAAGCAATACCACATTTTACTGGAGGGACTGCAGGGATTAGTGCAGCATCAAGGACTTGAAGGATGCAGGGACCTTGGAGAGTGACAGTGGATTATCATAAGCTTAAGCCGGTGGTGACTCCAAGTGCAGCAGCTGTGCCAGATGTGGTTTCCCTGCTTGAGCTGATTACTGCCTACCATGGTACCTGCTTTGAAGCTCTCCCTCTGGCAAATACTTCTTTCTCCATACCTGTCAGCAACGGCCTACCAGAATCAGTTTGCTTTCAGCTGGCAAGACCAGCAAGGCACCTTCACTGTCCTAGCCCAGGAGTACATCAACTCTCCAGCCCTGTGTCCTAATTTAGTTCACAGGGATCTTGGTGGCCTTTCCCTTTCACAAGACATCATTCTGGCCTGTTGCATTGATGACATTATGCTGACTGAACCTAGTGAACAGGAAGTAATAACGACTCTAGACTTACTAGTAAGACATTTATGTGTCAGGACATGGAAAATAAATCAAACAAAAATTCAGGGGACTTCTCCCTCAGGGAAATTTCTAGGGATCCAGAGGTGAGTGGCATATCAATCTACCTCTTCTAAGGTGAAGGATAAGTTGTTGGATCCCATCCCTCCTACAACCCTGCTCCTCCTTCATCTGTCCACGGATCCAACTCCCAGCATTCCAGCCATACACACCGCTGCCACCTAAGGGCACAAACAGTTTAACTTACTGGAGACAATATGCCCTGATATACATCCTGTGAAATCTGAGTTTGGTGACATTTCATTGAGGGAAGAGGCACGGACAATGTACTTAGAGCAACAGATATTGGGACTCGCAGAGCTGTAATATGATGGAGTATTAACATGATATGTGATCCATGTAAAATGTCTACAGATTGATGATTAATAAACATGCAGAGCGGCTGAGCACGGTGACTCTGCTTTCTACACTTCCCTCCTTGTCCACCAGAGGGCAGCAGAGATACTCCGCAACCTGGAGCCTTGGGGGGGGGGGAGGGGGGAGGCGCTGCTGATCCTCCTTGGCGCGCCCACTCCCCAGCAGGGTCTGACCCTCCCCAGCCTCACTCAGTCACAGTCCTCCTCGCTCTCCAGGCTCCCCCACTGACCTCCGTCAGCCCCTCCGGCCAGTCGGGTGTCTGCCCGCTGAGACAGGTCCCTCTGTAGGCAGCTCAGCCCCCCACACCCTCTGTCCTTCGAGGGGCAAAGGCCCACTCACACTTCTGGTCTCAGCCAAAAGATTACTTTGTCAGGAGTGCTCCATGTGACAGCCCCTCCCCGACCAGCTGAGACCTGTTACATGCTCCTGTCACACCAGACACTTTCCCTTCATGGACCCTTTCTCTATTTTATTTTATTTAAAAAAATTTTTTTTAACATTTATTTATT